TACTGTGTTGCTATTCTAGTCTGGCCGTTTCCTGAAGAGAAAAAAATCCGATCTATATGATGTAATGAATAAAACCATTTTTTGATTACCCAAAGTTTAATGGTGTTGTTCTCTTATTCAAATTATAAATTATATAACTAAACAAATTAATAAATATTTAGGTGAAGCTGTGCGCTTGAATTTTTTCGCATCATCGCATCATCCTATGCAGTGTGGTGAATTATTATTGTTCATTATTGTCTATTGGCTATTTTAGTAATTTAAATAGCATGGGTTATTGTGCAGGCTTTTTTTTTTTTTAGCTTAGGCTACTGACTGTTATGGATTAGTGTAGCCTGCATTAAAAAGTCTTGAACATAAAACAACAGGATAAAAATATAGTTGATGACTAGACATAATCATTTCATGACTCTAGACACTTCTTTGTGAAGACAGTGGCATAATACAGTGAATTAATATGTTCTTTAGCCATATAAATACAGTTGTCATGTGCGTGGGTAAAATTTACCCGCTGGTGCTTTTAGGTATACAGCTACCTCTGGCGGTTCTAGTGTTAAATAAGGTCATTTTGCAATCAGACGCCATATTTACATGGATTTCCTCTCACATAAACACAAAACTGAATTTAACCCTATTGTTCAAATGCATAATAGATTGTTCATTCAAAAAATATATATAATAATGTGTCATTATCAGTGTTGGGTGTAAATAGTTACTAAGTAATTAGTTACTGTAATTTAATTACTTTTCCCTTGAAAAAGTAAAGTAAGGGATTACTCTTACTTTTTCTGTAATTTAATTACAGTTACTTCTTATGTAATTGAACTTAATACGGTGTATATATTGTAGAACATTTATATACAATACAGTACAATCGTGGATTTAACATCAAAATTTAAAGTCTAACCTTAAAATGCATGCTTTCTATGTACCCTGCTCACTTTACATACTTTGGTGAGTTAATAAGAATATTGGTAACACTTTAGTGTCCAATTCTTACTATTAACTAGTTGGTTATTAGCATGAATATTACTGGGATGTTGGCTGTTTATTATTACTTAAAACGCACATATTATGTGCTTATGCCTTATTCGGCAATACCTTATTCTAAATCCTTAATTCTACCCAATTCCTACCAAATTCTTAAACTTAATTGTCAACAACTACTTTATTAAGTATTAATAAGCAGTAATTACGAGTATATTGAGGCAAAAGTATAGTTAGTTCATAGTAAATATTTAGTTAATAGTGAGAATTGGACCCTAATCTAAAGTGTGACCAGAAGAATTTATGCAGTTATCTATTATTTATTTGAAAGAATTAAAAGAACTGTTACATGTCTATCCTTGTATCATTCATTTACTTTGATATAGGATTTAGAAAGTAATTAGTAATAAGTAATTAAATACTTTTTGGAGAGAGTAATTTGTACCGTAATCTAATTACACTGTTGAAGATGTAATTAGTAACTAGTAATTAATTACTTTATTAATTACTTTAGTAATTAATTACTAATTAGTTACTTAATTAAGTAACTTACCCAACACTGGTCATTGTCTTATGAGTTTTTGGTTACCTGGGGCTGTTGCAGGATCGTTCTCGGTACATGACCCCTCCACCACAGGTGCGTGAACAGTCAGACCACTCGGACCAGCCCGACCACTGGCCATGCACTGCTCTAGGACCATGATCACCAAATTTGACACACTGTCCTCTCCGGCACCACTGCATTATGGAAAAAGAAAAATAAAGAATCTTGAACACTGATCGGCAATTCTGAATTGTTTTTTGTTTTTTTTAATCATACTGTGACTTTATATCTTGCAATTACAACTTTATATCTCATAATGTTATTATTATATCTCACAGTCTTGTGATTATGACTATTTCTTGCAATGATTTATATTATTTCACAACTCCAACTTTATATATCTCCATTTTTATAAATAAGTTTGGTTTTAGTTATTGTGTTAGTCTTGGCTCATATGTCATAATTATCTCTTTGTTTTATTCTCAAAGAAATGTGTTTATATTTAAAACAGCCACCAAAATCAGTGTTTGTGTGGTAGACAAGGAGATCCCTGTTGAAAAAACAGTATATGCTGGTTATGTATGTTTTGAAGCATGGCAGCTGGTTTTAGCTGGTTTATGCTGATCCTTAGCTGGTCATGAGCTGATTTAAGCTGGTCCTGAGCTGGTTATGAGCTGGTCCTGAGCAGGCTCTATAGTTGCATTGGACCAGCTTAGGGCCAGCACGTGACCAGCTTAAATCAGCTCATGACCAACTAAGGACCAGCTTAAACCAGCTCAAACCAGCTGCCATGCTTCAAAACACTACCTAACCAGCATATGCCTTTTTTTTCAACAGGGATAGCAAACTACTATCAGGCAAACTGATTTTTTCCATGTCAAAGACAAGACACGGTATGAGAGGGAAAGTGAGGAAAAGGAGAAAGTGTTTCTGTGTTCCTGCTGGATTGGGATGGGGCCCAGAGTTACACCTGGACAGCAGGACTTGGCCTAGCCAAGCCACACAGTCCCACACATCAGCACCTCTCATCCCCATCAACCAGTGGAAAGCACCAACTGTCCTTATGGAACATTTACACAAAGTAGAGAACAATACTGCAGGTGTAAATGAAGAAAAGATGGTGAGAGAGACTGGTCAGTTCATGTTCCTCCTTAACAGTGGTTCAGTGAGTTCAGGGTGAACAGATAAGCACTCACTCACCATGTCTGGTCCGCAGATGGTGCCCTCGGCAGCAGGCATGAACTTGGTCTCACACCGGTGTCCTGTTCTGTGGCACCACAATGATTTACACATGTCCTGGTGGGCACGAACACACAGAGAGCACAGTCAAAAACGGGCCTACACCCGCTGGGAACCCTTCAACCTCCCTGGCTTGCACCTCACCACGCCGACCTCTTGTTTCTACAGCAACGGCCAATCAACTTTCCCAACAAATAAAAAAGCCTGTCAAAATCAATCACTGTGCTGCCCAAAAGAAACACGCTATTATCGTTGCATTTTGTTTCTTCCCACAATACGACGATAATAATGGGTGATGAGGGGTTGGGAGACCGGCCACTGCTGGCCGACGGCCCGATTGCATCTGGCAGACAGTGAGAGAGAGACATGGTTTACAAAAGCTAGCAACACTGGTCTCTGGATCACTGGCTAGCTAACGCCGCTAGCTCCCACGGCTAATTACATCTCAACAACTTTGTGACAAGGACAGGATGGCTTGGGGGGGACAGAAAACAAAAACATTGGGTTTTATCTGCACAATCGTTCTTAATTAAGATGTACAGCTGCCTTCCATCAAGGTCGATGTTCAAGACTCTTTTCAGAGCACGTACAAGGTCTCCGAAGCGCACAAAGGCAACAGGGATCTCTCAAAGAGGAAGTCCATAGCATGAGAGCTAATCCCACAGATAGACTCTCACAATGTTCATTTCCCAAGCATAACTATTTGCATATCAATGTGTGCGTTAGACGCTAAAGGCTACAGCGGATGCCAAAGGGGGCCCTGTCCATCTTTGTTGAACCTGTGAATGAAGACTTAGAGTAGATTTTGAGGCAATGGGTTTCCTCTCAGTAGATTGTTTTCTTTCCAAAGCTCAGATGTGTGTTTGTGTTGATCATGATGTCTCCACACACAAACATAACAGGTTGAAGCACATTTAAATATCTGAGACTCTAAATGAACTCAATCTCTGTGAATTCTATTGTGGAATTGTTTGAGTTGTTTGTTGTTTGACAAGTTGTTTGACGTTTACAACTTGTGTTCCACTGAAATCCACTGAAACGCTCCAACTATGAAGAGAAGCCTAATAGCATATTTTACACACTATTGGTTACCTTTGCGAAGTCCAGGCTGCACAGTTTAGCTTTCGAGCCAAACTGCCATTTGCACTGTATATCAGCATCATACAGCTGACCTGGAAGCTGCTCGGGGTACTTGTACTGGCCTATCTGCTTGGGCTCGTCCACTAGACACGAAGCCTGAGCTGTACTGTGAACACAAATGCAGGCAAAGAAAGATGAGCACAGAAACAGGCATAAAAACCATACAATATTATACGTATCTCGAATGGGACACCATATTGCATATTTGTAAAAACATATGTATATATTATATAACCAAACCACATATTATATATAGGAATATATAATATATAGGAAATTAAATATTACAATAAAAATGTAAAAATACATATATTTCTAAAATGTATTTATATACCACTTTTTGATGATAAGTGAAGTGAAAGTTTACCCTAAAAATCGGTTCAAGTATTGCCGACTACAGGCAGACCATGAGAAAACACCATTATTCCCAGCCAATGTGGGAGACATTATGTTCCCTTCAGTCTTCCGGCAGGGATTCCCCTCTCCGTCATGGATCATTCCAAAACTGGGGCAAAAAAAGGAGGGAGCGAAAGAGGGAAAGATGGAGATTGTGAGTTTTACCCAGTGAGACTATTAATGTATGACTTCAGGACGAAAACCACTCCCGGAGTCAGGTGGGACATTACCTCTATAACCGAAAGCACTTTCATCCCACAAACCCCTTCAATGATTTCTCTACTCTAATGAATAAGTCACATGATTCACACTCACACATTTAGATGTTTACTTTTATTAGCCCTGTAAGAATCAAACTTATTAACGCATCAAAATAAACATATGCACTATAGTCACGAAATTCAGACCTGAGCAGTGTTGGCAAGATGTGCCATGTGTTTATAAATGACCACTCCTCAATAAATGAGTGATTAACGACTGTTGGCCAGTGAAGATTTTGCCCTAAACACTGTGCACATTGGAGGCACGTGTCCATTTCATTTGACCAGAATGTTTGAACTGCTGAGAATAACAAATCCCACAACATGTTATCAGCCTGATGGTTCTCCAGGATAGATTTTGTTCCAGTTTATGTTGAGAATGTGCCAAAGGAACGAAGGACTCGAAATACGTCTGTCATAAAAACAAAATCTCAAACATAAACTTCCCCTTATCACAATGGCAACCAGCAAACACAAACAAAATGTTTGCCTGTTGCACAGCATATGGTTTTCCAAATTAAAATAGTGTGGGACCTGAAAGCATGAGTTAACGTACTTATGTCCTGACTCGTGGGCGATGGTGAAAGCGAGGCCCAGCCCCGTATCTTCATTAATCGTGCAGCTACGATGCTTGCTACACATCCCACTTATTGGAGCGAAACCTGCAGACAGGAAGTCAGAAAGGACAGAAAGAGCAAAACATGGGTGGAAGATACTGATGCATGTTGAGGATGCAATTCAAACTTTAAAATCCAACAGGTCTGAATGAAAACATTAAAGGGATAGTTTACAAGAGAGTGGCGTCCAGCGGATGACGTAGGACATTAATTAGTAGTACAAAATGAGGATTTGTAAAGAAAAATCTAGGAGGATTTCGATATAAGCCAAGAGGGCACTGGTTTTCCTTTGCTGTAAACAAAACTTTTTTCTCGCGAGACTAGCATATTCTCACCGGAGCTTATGCTACGCCTACGTCCTACGTCATCTGCTGGATGCCACTCTCTTGTGAACATGCATACGACACTTAGCGGAAGCTAGAGATTAAGATATAGAAAGTTTTAAATATGGATATTTTTCTTACACAAACGCATCTCGTCGCTTCAGAAGGCCTTTATTAACCCCCCGGAGCCGTGTGGACTTCTTTTATAATGGATGGCTGCAATTTTTTGGACTTCAAATGTTGGGCTACCATCCACTCCCATTATAAAGCATGGATTAGCCTGGACATTATTTAATATAACTCCGACTGTATTCGTCTGAAAGAAGAATGTCGTATACACCTAGGATGGCTTGAGGGTGAGTAAATCATGGGGTA